AATTTTATAGTATTCATGTATTTATATTTAAATTTGTATTTGATTTAGATAAATTTTTACTGAGTTGTACATATTGAGAAAAATTCCAAATAATTTTGGGTACCACTGTATATTATATAAAATACAAAAAAAATCATTGAAATTTTTTAAAAAAATTTTTTAATATTCAAATAATGAAAATAGTAACAAAATATATTAATTATAATATGTAAATTTATTTTTTTGAAATATGAAAAAAACACATGTATTGATAAAAATACTATAGCATACATTTGTGATGTGTCTTTTTGTTACATATAATATGATGATATTGTTATAAAAATTTCAATTTTAAATAAGAAAAAAAAACAATAATAGTATAAAAAAATTCGATAATAAAAAAATAATTACGTAAATTTGTAAAATAAAATGATCTTATTATAACCTTTTTATCAATTCTAAAAAATTGGTTCAATTATAAAGAATTAAAATCTTTCCAATTATAGTATACACGTACGAAATATATAATTTATATTTGTTAGATAAATTTTATCCTTTAATAATAACAAAGGATTCGTACAATACGTTCCTTAAAAGAGTAACGTACAGAAAGTATGCATAAAAAAAAAAAAGTGCGTTTTTCCAAATCGAGGGAGATTCACAATAGCGTAAGACTCATGATCAACGATACCCCATTAAAAGTATTCTACAATAATGAAACCGGATTTGGGCTGCAGACTGGTTTTTTTTAATATTACCAATTATAGGTAAAAAATTTTTTTTTTTTTGTTTTGAAATGATGGTTGATATCTTCAATATCTTTTCTTCGAGACATGACGGATATTTTGTTAACTTCGCGTTCGGTTCACTCACTTTTGCGAACATTTCCTTCAATTGCTGCGAAGAGGAGCATCAAAAGTTTTCGGTGAGACCTGTTCTGTTTTTTAATTAATTGATTGATTGATTGTTAATTTTATTTTCTGCATAAATAGTCCGAAATTTTTATGTCAAAGATACGCTCCGCAAATGAGTACCGACACTTCGATTAAACAGAAAACATTTTCAAATCAAAAGGATATTCCACGCTTACCCATTCCAACTCTCCAGGAAACTGCCGAACGTTATAAAAAGACGTTGATTCCATTGTTATCAACTCAAGATTATAATAGGGCTGCAGTTGCTGTAGATGAATTTATGAAAAGTGGAGGTCTGGCAGAAATTCTGCAGGCAAGACTTCATGAACTTGATAAAATTGAACCGGTACGAAAAGAATTTCGCAGTAATATGACATGATTAAGAAGTTTGATTCTGTGAATCAGTTCCCAAATTTAATTAACGTATATATGTAGAATAATTGGATCGAAACCATTTGGTTGAATAAAGCGTATCTCGAATGGAGGGAGCCCTCACTCATAAACGTCAATTGGTGGTTGGAATTTAATGATCCTAAAACCGGAATCCTTGAGACCCCTCCTCCAAAAGGTCAAGTATCGGAATTGCAAATTGATAGAGCTGCTGGACTTATAAACAATCTGTTGGATTTCAATGACAAAATCAACAAGTAAGGGTTTGTTCGTATGAAAAACATTCAGGCGTCTAATCTTGAGTCATTCATTGAAAAAAATTACTTATTACTTAGCGAATTATTACCACCAGAATCGACCCGTCACGGCCCATTGTGCATGAATCAGTACAAAAAACAATTTGGCGCATCTCGTATTGCAGATATTCCTGCCGATCAAATTATAACACCTTGGCCGACTACTGCTAAACATATCATTGTAATCTTTAAGGATCAGATATTTAAAGTTCAAGTTTTGGGTGAAGGAGGCGCAAGAGTTCGGATCTCTGACATAAAAAGGTTATTCATCTCGATTGTTATTTATTTTATTTTTTTAAATGGATTTTAACACTAAAGAAGATATTGAAAATAAAGGCAGTTACATTCCGTGATTGAGCAGGTGAATAATGCTACTGAATTACAACCGCCAATTGGATTGTTGACAGGAGAACATCGTGACACATGGGCCGAGGTATAATATCAAATTCTGTGATCACGCGTTTAGATGTCACATTAATACTTGAATGTAATATCTCTACTATATAACAGGCTCGCAAGAAGCTTGAATCCGTACATGAAAATAAAAGCATTTTCGAAGCAATCGATGAATCATTGTTTGCTGTCGCGTTAGATGACTATTCGGTTAGCAGTGATATTGATATTTCCCACCACAACATCTTTCACGCACTTAACGGTCGTAACCGATGGTTTGATAAAGCATATCAATTGATCATACAAAACAATGGACGTGGCGGTATTAATGGCGAGGTATTTATAAATCATGACCTATTATTTATTTTAACTGTTGGCACATTATATATTTTTAATTTTGCAGCATTCTCCCTCTGATGCTGTGATTCCTGGTCGTATATTTGATGAAGTTTTAGAAAAGTAAGTGGAAACGATATTATTTTACACTCGACCTAAAAAAAAAAAAAATCTTACGTAATTACTCCTTTCATAATGCAAAGTGAACCTGCAAATGATCCTCCAAATTCCTCGTCCCTTTCATTAGCGGAACCCCAATATTTGAAATGGGCTGTTGATCAAACCATTCACTCTGCCATAGAGAAAGCAAAAACCAATATTCAATCTGCGATCACAAATGTTGATAGTGTTTTATTACACTACAAAGAATACGGATCTAATATGCTTAAGAGTGGTATGTTTTTGTTAAATAAGATTTTCTACTGTTTATAAAAAAGATTGTGAAAATTAGTTGACATGCAGTGGTTTCTTCTTTGTGCAGTCAAAGTTAGCCCAGATGCATTTGTGCAAATGGCAATGCAGCTTGCTTATTATCGTCATTATGGAGAACCATGTCCAACCTATGAATCGGCTTCGACCAGAGGATTTTTGCATGGTCGCACGGAAACAGTTAGAACTTGCTCGGTTGATAGCTTAGCATTCACCAAAGCTTTCGATGACAAAGATATCAATGTGAGCTTGAAAATACACTCGCTTTTTATTTACTGCATTAAACTTTTTTTTTAACAACAATTTCTATTAATTATAGAAAGAGAAGAAAATCGAATTTTTAAAAAAGGCTATTAAGTCACATGTTGAATACATGATTTCAGCTACGAACGGTAAGATCTCGAAGAATTTTTGATTTTATAAGATGAAGTATATCTGATCCATTGTTGTCCACTCATTTTAACGAATTTTACGAATAGGCAAAGGTGTAGACCGACATCTATTAGGACTTCGCACCCAATTACGTTCTGACGAGGAAAAAGCGAAGGCAACATTATTCAATGATCCGTCATATTATCAGTCAATGAATTTTAAACTTTCATCGTCAAATATGAGTCCGGGAATGAACTTTCATTGCGGATTTGGGGCGGTAGTACCTGATGGATATGGGGTCTGTTATATAATTCATCAAGACAAAATTAAGTTCAGTATTAGTAGTTACTTGAAGTGTAAGGAGACCGACAGTAAGAAATTTAGGAAAACACTGGTTCGTACATTGGATGATTTGGGAGAAATGTTGTCATAAAAAATTTGGGATAATAAAGGTTTACAAACAACCTTTCAAATGAATTTAAAAATTTACTGAACCATCACACTGACAATTACGATATTCTCACGGCTAAGTCGAATCACACGCAAAACAATAAAAATAAATTCTACTTAACCAGTATTAATACATTTGAGTTTACCATAACCCATATGTTTTAATAAGACCAATAATTAATTTAAATTATTGTTTTCAAAATAACATATATGATTGAATTCATGTTAAATGGTAAATGATTAAAATAAAATGCGTGTAAAGTTTAACTATGGCATGATAAAATTAAAATCTCTATTTTTTTGTATATGAAGTAACAAAATTAATTGTTGATCCGTTTAAATTTAATGCATTTATTTCGTTATACTGCGGTAATTTAATTTAATTTAATTTAATTTAATTTTTTTTTTTTTGTAAATCGTGTAAATCATGTGTACGGTACCATTTTTGGTGACCATTGGAATTAACGCGGTACCACATCGATTTTTGATGAATTAATTTTTTCCCGTAATTATTATCATCATAGTTATTTTCTTCTTTTGTAAATGAATTAGGTTTTGATATCGTAAACACCTTAAATTGGGTTTATCTATTTTTATTAAGATGACTAAATAAGTCCAATAATAATATTGCAAGTTGGAAAAAAAATTTTTCGATGTAATGTCACCGCATCTAATCATTGACTACCTGCACCGAATGTTTTGCGGTCCGCCTTTCGTGTTACATTACATATTGCGTACAAATTTTTTTCACAGTTGCTGGTGTTCAAACGCTAGGCTCAAGAATTAAAGTTTACTTGTCTCATTGCGATGAAGTAGTCATTCGATCAAGAGGGCTTTTTTTAGGCCTCGACCAACCACTCGTTGTCTTTATGGTATGCGATGCTGTGACAAATGGAGACCTCCTTGAATGCATAATGGATACGGTAATATACGGCATGCAAACATTTATTAATGACAATGCAAAACCGTGAACCACGTGTAACAATATTCATCAACAACAACGTATTTCACTCGTATTCGAAAAAGCATACAATTTTACCAACAACGGAAAGAATTCTATAATTAACTGTGCTGTAGATGATAGGTAAAGTATAGGATTTCTATCCGAAATGGGACATATAAGTGATTCCCCGCGTTACATGAAGATGCTCTTGGACGCACATGACAAAAGATTTGACACGACATGATTTCTTCAAGTCGGACCACGCGCACTTTATATTTAAATCATCGATGGGATTTTCCCTTATGTAATAAAATTATTAGTTATATTTACATGTCGTGCGTGCATTGTTAAAGAACCCTTTAAAAAAAAGTTTGCCGTAAATGCTAGTGTGTAAAGGGATATCCAAAAAATCCTTTATTGAACGTACGTACACTATTTCAAAGGGAATAATCTGTGACCCTTCCAAACGCGCCTGCTTCAAAAACAAACCTATCTAAATATATACGAAACCATTTCCTACATTCTTTAGAGTACACGCATGTACGTATACAGTGTATGCGCCAAGTTTCTGTTTGTTGTTTTACATAAATAATCAAACAATTTTATTTATATCCACAAAAAAAAAAAGAAAAAAAAAAAAACTAATTATATTTGTTTTCTTTTCCTTTTACTTCTGGGAACCATTATTCAACAAATAACTTTGTAATCGTTCGTCATCTATACCAACAACTCATTAGCAGGCATCTTTCAAATATTTTATAAACTATTAAGCGTGTGCTTACGAAAGAATTTAATTTTTTCTTGACTCTTCTCGTCGTATCTACGCACGAAAAACACGACAAACACGGACGATGGGTTATTTTACGTTTTGCAATGTATGTAAAGTTAATCCCGTTCAAACGGATAAACGAACACTAGAACCCATCAGCAAATTTTGTTCTGAGAAATGCAGAGAAGCTGCGTCTACTCTAGGAATGATTGGCAGCGATAAGTGCAATTACTGTGGCGTCTATCCAAAACTATTTCTCGCCAATGGTAAAAAGGTAGATTATTGTGGGATAGCCTGCCGGAAGGAGGCCGAAAAACAAAAACATCTTGATGGTAAGTATAAAATCCATCGTTTAATGGTGGGTCCATTCAACACGAATAATAATTATCGAAATTCTTTGTCCTATTGCAATTTTAGAACATGAGATCTCACGGCATCATGATTCAGGCTTCCGACCTTTCGTACCTTTAATTCAATATAGCCATAATAATAACTCTTTAAGTTCACTTCAAGTCACACATTCCAAACGAAGTTCGACTCTTCCCATATCCAACAGTAGCAATTCGCGATCTCCAAACTCAAGTTCTCTACAGGTCGCACATTCTAATCAATCATCAAAACGGAGTTCAACGCTTCCCTCACCCAACAGGGATTCACGATCTCCCACTCCAAATTCTCTGCAAGTTACCCATTCTCACCAATCATCAAAACGAAGTTCAACACTTCCTCCGTCCAACAATAATTCACGATCTCCCACTCCAAATTCTCTGCAAGTCACCTATTCTCACCAACCATCAAAACGAAGTTCAACACTTCCCGCGTCCAACAGTAATTCGCGATCTCCTACTCCAAATTCTCTGCAGATTACCCATTCTCATCAGTCATCAAAACGAAATTCAAAACTTCCCGCGTCTAACATTTCACAATCTCCCACAACAAATTCTCTGCAAGCTACTTATCAACCATCAAAACGGAGTTCAACACTCCCCACGTCTGACAACAATTATTCTCTGCAAGTCACTGATTCACCGAAACGAAGTTCAATGCTTCCCGCGCCCAACAGTGGTTCACGATCACCCACTCCAAATTCTTTGCAGGTCACTTATTCGCACCAGTCATCAAAACGAAGCTCAACGCTTCCCTCACCCAACAGGGATTCACGATCTCCTACTCCAAATTCTCTACACACTCATTATCATTCACCAAAACGAAGTTCGACACTTCCAGAGCCCAATAATAACTTGCGATCTCCCACAAATTCTTCTGCATCCTCACGTTCGAGTACACCAACAAAACTTAAAACGCGAAAAAGTAACAGTAGCATTAATAGTAATAGCAATGACCACGGTTATATTGAACGTAGTGATATCTATCATGATAGGAATTTGGTCATTCCACCATTAATCTCGTTCAATGGTAGCTCCCACGATGCTGGTCAGAGTGATTTTTCTTATAAACGATCGTCTCAAGCTCCTCAGAAAAGTTCAACCTATTCCTCTCCTAAAAATTTTAGCGGCAACAACAGCTTGGATTATCAGCGAAAATCTCACACGGTACCACTGATTAGTTTAATACCTCCACCCATTAATGTTGCACCTACTAATTATAACAATTACTCTTACAAGAGAAGTTAGTGGGTGGGTACCTTTACTAAGGAAGTGCAACTGAGATTTTTAATTTCAATATCATTTATCACACATCAAATAAATTTAACGAGAGAAATTTTATCATTTATTCCTTTAAGTATTGATGGTAATAACATAACAAAATTTGATAGGAGGCAATGCTCCTTATTCTTTGTACAAAACATAGACATATTTTAATTAAAACAAGTGTTGTACTCTCTACTTTGATAAAAAATTTATTGGGGTTCTGAATATGCCATTATATCATGCCTTTCATAATAAAATTGCAATGTTTGGATATTTGTATAAAGAAAAAAGAGTTCAATAATTGTAAATTATGTTTTTTCGAGTATATATAGAGTATAAAAAATTCGTAATATTACACATATAAGAAGGTAAAAATAAATTTACAAAACTTCTATCAGTAATAATGCCTTTGTTGATGATAAACTATGGTTGACGTGGTGGGAGGTTGGGAGAGGATCACAGTTCGTGGTGCTGGTTGTGCATAAACGACGGTTGTTGGTGGGGGCGGTGCCTGGTAAATTATAGTTGGTGGGGGTGGGGGTGGGGGTGTGTAGATAACAGTTGGTGGTGGGGGTGGGGGTGGCAAAACTATAGTACGAACCGGGGGAGGGTCGTTCCTAACAACCACCACATTGCTAGGCTGTGCTTGATTTACGTAGACGACTTTCTGTTCAGAATACTATGAAACATTGGACGCTTGTTAGCAAAGTCTTTCAAACATTCTCATCTGTGCATAATCTTTGTTAGTACGTACCATGCGTTTTATCTATAGAATGACGAAAGAGTCAAATGTTATTTCAGATATTTGTATTGCGTAGGTAGGTATTCCTTTGGAGTACTGCGGGGATAATTTGAAAGCAGAAAAAAAATGAAATTTTGAAAAATACTATCCACCTCAATTATTTTTATAACAAATCCGGAGTTTGTTTCTCCTTGTGAACTTTTCTAGCATTCGTGCGACCTGCCAAGCAGCTCTCTATCGTATGTAGTATTATTGTTGTTTACATACTTATAGTTTCACCTCCTACATGGACCAAGATAGCGGTATCTTTGTCTGCTATTTTTAATTTATTTCGAACTGTGTGATTGGACTTTTTTTTTTTTGCTGGCATTATTTATAATTTCAATCGGCGTCGAAATGCTCACCAGTTCCTGGTAACGTGTTAGCATCACCTCAAAAGTATAAAGCTTGCGAGTTTTCTGCTGATGTATGTATGTATGCATCCTTAATAAAATTCATATCATGTTATTCCAAAAAAAAAAAAACCTTTATGTATGTTGAAATTTGTTTTCGAAAATTTGTTTTAGAAAATTTGTTTTAATATTCTTTAAGATTTTTCAAACTTTACTGTATGCAATGCGAATCAAAAAATAATTGACTATCCAATATCACTTGGGATTAATTTTTCTGAAATTATTTTTTAATATTGGACAAAGTATTTTTTTTTTGAATATTGTAATGGTGAGAAACGGCGAGTCTGCCTCAGACCACGTCATTGTACATCACGCAACAGCCAAATAGACCCACTTTGTACCAAATGTATCTTCGTTGTTTTACTGGTAGGCAATAGAGACGTTGGATTGGTTGGGTTTCGTCATCGGTCACGTGATCATTGCGTGAAACTATAATAGAACACAAGTTTATCACGCGAATAATTAAACACTGCAACACTTGATGTTTTTATTAGTGTCATATTATCAAATGCATTTAAACATTTCATCATTATTCTTATTATTCAAAATTATCCTTTTTATTCCAATCATTCCAATTATTTTATGTAATGTTTTTCACGATACCACGATATCAGTAAGATACGGATCATTCATTTGTTTTCTATAACAAACATCAAACGATTTTACAATAATAAACTTTAAATTCATAAAATCATACATTTTGTGACTAGCATTAAGAATGTGATGACAAGTTTATCATCCTTGTTGTAATGAATTGGTGTCACGTGATATTATAAGAGTTAATAAATAGTTACAATATAAACAATTTTGTGATTTTTTTATATACATATATCATATAAAAGTTAAACCCAATTATTTTGTTAATTTATAATAGATTTATTGTAAAATACCATTTAAAAAAATTTTTTTAAAATTAAATTTCTTTGTTTTTTTAAAAAATTTTTAATAAGACAAGAAAAAAAAATCAATTTTTGCTTTTAAAGAATTTTTTAAAAATATTAAGTATAAAAGCTATGTTATTTTATTATATACTATAAGATCAATTATATATCAGATTGAACATAACTTATTATTGAATATATTATATATAAAAATAAGTTTTTAAATTAAAAGCAAAAAAATAATTTAAATGTTTCTTACTATTAAAAAAGTTTTTTATAATTTAGGCCACTTAATTCAAATATTTTTTTAAATTATGTTTTTATTAAAATAATAATTAATTAATTATGTCTCTTCAAAAAGGACATAATTAATCTGTAAAATGTTATATACCAAATAATTTATGAACTTATTCTTAATTATATACTGTATATAACAAAATATTTATAATTAATTAGAACTTATACAAATTAATACTATATACTTTATATATATTATTTCTTATATATTATTTTACTTTTAATATTTAAAAATCTATTATATTAAATAATTTTCTATATAATACTAAATTTGAATCTATAGAATATAAAAATTCTATTACTAGTTTAAACTATTTAACTTATATAGTTTAGTATATTTTTGAAAAGTCTTAATTAAAGAAATTGATTTAAGTATCTTTATTATCTTGTTATCTAAACTTTAGATTATAAACATATATTAATTTTAAACTTATACAAGTTATAATTCTTTTTATTACCCGTAATTAATTAAACTATTTAAACTTTATATCAAATTAGTATATTCTTAATTAGAGCTCCAATCATTATTAAATAATGTTATACAGATTTATTAAAATAAAATATAACCTAATCTATATATCCAAATATATTATTGGAAGTATTAATTATTAAAAATTAATTAATAAAAATATAATTTAATCTGTATATTCAAATATATTAATAGTTATTAAACTTTTTCTTAAATAATCATTATGATATCAACTTGATAATTATTGTTTTTTTTTTAAAATATTAAACA